CTGGAACGCATACCCAAGATGCAAAACAGGTTTTCCATGTGTTCTTGATGTCAATTTTTGAATATCTTGTTTATTAAACACACTTTAAATTTGTTTTAACATGGTTTTTGGTTGTCTGCAAATGGATGCTCTATGTCACAGTAATCAAGGTAACAGAATTCTTGTCCATCTCTGAAAACAATTAATTGTCCATTTACATTCTCAGAATTTATCATTAAAAGAATTTAGAAGCATAATCGCTTGTGTTGCATTTTGCAGTGCCCATACTTTACCAAGTTTCAGCTGACCATTGAAACAGTTCACAGGGCTGACAATGGGCAGTCAGATAATGTAAGTTTCTAGAAAAGTTTCTGTTGTCTTTAGTTAAGTTTTATTTATAACTCTATTTGTAGTGGCAAATTTATAATTTAATGTCCTTATACCCTACTTTTCTTTCTTGTTCTTCTCTTTGCCACTTTGAAACTAAAGGTGCATGGTCTAAGCAAAGGACAACTAGCAACCAGGGATGTGGAAATTGTTGATATTGCTTCATCTGCAAGGGATTACTGGAGTTACGTCGTTAGCAGTAGCAACACAGACCTATCCAAATTTACGTCAGCGAAAACTGGCCGTGGTCCACTTTTAGAGGGATGGCAGGTTGGAATCTTCCCTACCAGTAGCTTAACCATGTTGTTTATGAATTTACGACGTGTCAGTTACTCAGTTTGGTTTTTTTATATATAGCAGTCCCCTTCTATTGAGGGATCCCTACAAATTTTTTTCCAACAATCGAAACCATCTATTTTTTAAGTCTTCATTCATAGATCATCCTTGCAAAAAATTAGACAAATCGGAAACCAATTTAGACATCTAATGGTGTCCTACAAAATCAATTAACACGGTGCTTCAAGAAAGTACTAAAATTTCAATAATTTAATTGAGCGGTCAAATGATATCGGATTCAATTGATTTTTTGTAGAGATGATCTTCGAATGAATATCTACAAAATAGACGGTTTGGATGAATGAAATACAATGTATGGTGGGCCCTACAAGGGTGTCCCTCAAATAAACTTTTTTGACGAATCCATCAACCGAAGCTCACTCTCTCTCTCTCTCTCTCTCTCTCTCTCTATATATATATATATTACCTTATTGGTGACTATCCATGTGATATCTTCTCTCTCTCTCTCTCTCATTATTGTTTTTCTAAAGATCCTGTGGTATCTGACTTTATGATAGGGAACACAAATATGTGGAGAATTGCATTGTTTAATTATGTTCCCCATGTGTCTGGCCGGAAACAAAAAACGCTGTACATGTGATAAAGCCTTAATCTTGCATATGATTGGATATTACTTTTTACATGGATAAAAAGTCTTGCAAACAATTGCACTCTGATTTGCCTTGTCACTTGAGTTCTCATGCAAATCTAGCTTTTAATCTGTTAATTATTGCCGAAAATTTTCAGGATAAGTCGAAGCCAGTTATGACAGCCTACAAACTCGTCACTATTGATGCACCATATTGGGGTTTTGGCTATAGAATTGAACACGCTTTGCTACTGGTATGGTCTCTTGGATTTTGAACGTGCACATTTATTATTTTTCAGAATGCAATGATGCATGCAATAGCTAGGCAAATGCCACCATCACTTCTGTATATAATATGACACAGACAATTGATGAGTTATATTTACAATAATAATTTTTTATATGTTAAGATTTGTTTTGCAAGCAGAATGAGTCATCATCTTATTTTTGTCAGCAATAAAACTTAATGATAAGAATACAGAGACAGGAAAAGTAGTTCCTACTCTTTCAGCTCATTAGAGAAAGTACCATAGAGCTAGACATTGGAGACACCTCTAACCTTGAGCTGATGGTAACTCATGCTTATGTAATAGCTCTGAACTTCCATTTGTCAATTAACTTTATGTCGTCATGGACATACTGAGGCCAAGTTAAAAAAGTCAGTATTTTTAGTGTTATAGAAAAGTATTAGAATCTATTAAAGGAGAAAAATCTTAAATTGTTTAAGGGGATAATTTCAAAGTATCAGTTGGAGAATGAGAAGAGAATAAAAGTTAATTTTCAGTAACTTCTGTTCTGCAAGAGCTGCAAAATCGTAGGTTAAAATGTACACCATATAGATAACGGTAATTGCAAATGTGTTGTCACAATTATCATATATGGGTTGTTGATAATTTTTTTTCCTTTTTTTCTTAATGGGATGTGTGTAGGGCCAGGATCAATTTGAAGAACATAATTTTTTTCATAGGAGTTTACTTTTGGGGATGCCATCTTTGAATTTAATGCTCTAGTCATGCTTATCGGGCATGTCAAATCAAATATGCCCAACCATTCTATATATTTTTTTTTCCTGAATCATTCTATCTGTGTTGCATTGTAGTTAGTTACCATTTTCTCCTACGTCATATATAAAAATTCAACTTTCTTGATGGCATATTTTATCTCTATCTGATTGGCTTGAAAACATCATAGATATGAGAAAAGCATTAAAAATCCAATGTTATGATCAGCGAAGTGATGGCCTCTAAAAAGTTATTAAGCAGTGTTTGAGGTTACCTCGTCCTCTTATGTACTTCATCTTTTCTCTATGAATAAAAAAATGTTCTTTTTATTTTTTAGAAAGTTATTAAGCGATGTGGTGTGAATTTTTTTAATTTTACATCTATTTCCATTAATCTTGCAGCACGTGGTAATTATTTTCAAGTATCTATTCATATTATCAAATCTTTGTCCAATCTATCTTCGGTTATACCTTTTTATAGTGTTTTTTAACGGAATATTTTTTATAGGGTGAACGGGCTCTTTTCCTAGAAAGTCACCGGAATTGTTTTGCTTGGATCGATGAATGGTTTGGGTTGACAGTGGAACAGATACGTGAACTTGAACAACAAAGTGACTCATTGAAGGAGGTATGAAGGTTCTATACTTGACAACTCTTTGGTAGACGTGAGATTGCATATTTTCTAAATTTCATTAGATATCCAAAGCAAAAGAAAAAAGGAACTCCATAGTGATCGAATTTAAATCATAGAGCTTTAAAGTAGTTAGAAGAATTCATATTTGAAGTTATGCTTTATCTATATGGTGGTGATAATTTACTATAAGTCTCAATCTGGTCCCTCTAGTTCAATTTGAGTAGTGTCAACCTTGTAATTTCCAATTAGTGCCAATTTATTCCCTACAGTATCGCAATCTGATAAACGTCAATCGTGCACCTCTGGTCTTGTATAATTGAGACCTTCTATCCAATTCTATTAATCAAATTAGACAAAAAAGACCACTTGTTACACGACACAATCTCAATTTCACTAGACACTGCATTTTCCGCAAATTACCTAACCAATCCATATTTACCTGACCACGGGAGAAGCATGCGGTCTTTATCAGACTCTTCTCTGTTTCCAACAAGAAGTTTGATGAGTTATGGATTTTGTTAACTGGATTATAATTTTCCTAATTAAAACTGATTCATTTGAAGATTTTTTCAGATTAAACATCCTTGTGAATTGCTATATCCGTAATGGATCATAGGATGGGTTAGTGATCACTTTCCAACTCACATGTATATGGAGGGAGTTACTTATATTTGGACTTGAGATCACATTGGAATTATGTGGATGTTTTCTTTTCCGTTCAGTGTGGTTAATAGAAACAGATTGAGGGATCCATCGGTCATAATTGAAAAATGTAGTGTTAACATTGTTCAAGTTGAGGTTCGAGGGAACAATAAAACTTTTCAGCAAACTAGAGGGTGGTAAAAGTGTACTGAGCTCTATTTGTATCAATTTGTCTTATAGTTACATCTATTTTGTCATTTTTGTTCTTCCGGCTCAATTGTTTCCAGTCATTCAACTTCATTTCAGAGTGAACTTTAGCTGGATCAACTTGCTTAGAGTGTGGGTTTTTTGTATGCCAGTGTATTCTAGGTATTCCTAGTTTTAACATTGAAAAATGTAACTGACAAATACCAGAGTATGCTTGGCAATTGCAAAATGTAGTTCTATTTTAAAACTGAACATTACATTACAAGTCAATTTCTGCTATCTATTAACTTGCTTCCAAACTAGTTTTTAACGACTGCTATTATATTCTACACAGGAACTTGGGAGGCCGACTTTGGTAAAAAGTGTGGAAGATTTCGACCAGAGATTATTACCTGAAAGTGAAGATATTTATAGTGGGCAGAGAGCTCAACTCTCAACTTAAATCCACACTGCATGGGCTTTCGTTGACATGGAGCAAATTGTTTATTCTTGTGTTGGGTTCTAATGACAATCACGTCCGTCCATCGCATAACAGCAGGCCCCCGCCTATTTCGTATTCGACGACGTACTGAAGGAATGTCAGTTGACATGCAAGAATTGAAATTGTTTTCCGGCTGATACATTTGGCAGCATAAACTTGACGGAAGAGTGTATAGCACGCTAACATGTATCATAGTCCGATAAATTATCAAAGAAGGAAATACGCAGATAGGAGATTTTCTGTTTTTGTTGTTGTACCACAGTTACATAATACATTGTTCTGTTACCTATACAAAGAATTGTAGATCAGCTTGATGGAAAGCACCACATTCATAATTTTGTCTCAGCCCAAAATACATGCCACATTTACAATGATAAGTTTATATACTGAGAATGCTACAATATACTTTCTTGTGCAATTTCCATCAGGTTCATTTTGGAAAAAGTGTCTTCCATGACAATCTGGTAGGCCCTCGAACTGAAAGCAACGCCGGTCTTCCAAATCAAAAGGAAAATGGGCTCCTTGGTAAGAAATTGGTACTTGTAACAGTTACATTTCGGATTCACATTGTAATTCAGCTACAAAAATTTCAACCAAGTACAAAATGGCAAACAAACGACTTCTCGATTCTTTCTTTTCTATGAGAAAGAAAAAAAAAAGAACTATCAATGTCAAATTCACTTGTAATTGAAACCTCTGCTGAATTGAACTTCCTAAAATCTAGCTAATAAACAATTAAGCAGCTCTACCCACCAATATCTTCATCGTCTGTCTGATGAGGAAGTTGGTTGAGATCCAAGTTGAATTTTGTAGGATCTGTTCTGATCTCACCATCTTCTAAATCCATGGGTGCTACTTGAGCTGTTCCTCGAGCTTCTTCCACTGGTACTCCTTTATAGTTGTGACCTCTCTTGTGGCCTCCAAGAGCCTGACCCGTTGAGAACTTGCAGGGACAAATATTGCACTCAAACTGTTTGATGCCATGTTCCACTGCTTCAGCTTCTTCATGGTATTTTCCCTTCTCAGCAAATTTAGTACCAAATTCTTGAGTTTTTCTTGCCATCTGCTTGCGGGTTTGGTAAAGTAAAGCAGTGTCTTTTATGGGTCTTGTACCTGTTTTTGAAGTCGACTTCATCGTCATCTTCTTTGGCTTCGTCTTCCAACTAGTTTGATCATCATTCTCATCAACATCTTGCATAGAAGCCTTTCCTTTACCATCAAGTTTCAATTTGATCTTTAATGAAGATTTGCCTTTGTATCCAACAGGTGATTTTTGTATTGGCTTCTTCACTGAAAGTTCACCAACTTGGTTTTCCACATATTTACTACTAAACCCAGAATCTTCATCCATGTTCACATCACTGATTGTATCTGATCTTCTGGATCCAAATTCTTGACGCTTTGTTGGAATCTGCTTGTGGGTTTGATCAAGCAAGCCAATGTCTTTCATGGGTTTTGTACCTCCAGTACTTTTACTTGCCTCCATGGTACTTTTCTTGTTACTTCTACCATCACATTTGATTTTTTTAGATGAAGGGCTGCCTTTGTATCCAACTGGTGATTCTTCTATTGGCTTCTTCCCTGCAAATTCACCAACTTGGTCCTCTGCATAATGAGGCACTCTTTGTCTTTGGTTAGATAGACCACTATTCTCTGCATGATTAGGCTCGGTTTGGTTAGCAATTAGACTCCTGCGTCTCAGTTCGATCTTGGTCCAGTTTACTAAGAAATTTGCTACATCATTATCTGTCTCTATGGTGCGGTCAGATAAACTACCATCACCATCATCCTCATCTTCAGACACATTTTCATATGAAGAAGAAGAGTTGCTTTCGTCACACGGGGACAGAGAAGGCCCCGGAGGCCTGACACCCTTCCAGTCTCTTTCTCGGTGGAGTCTCATGTGACCGTGTAAAGATTTGATTGATGGGAAATTCTTGTTGCAAACATAGCATGAAATTTTGTTGCTGTGATCATCACCAACAGGACTATGTGCTTCCTTCAAAGAAAGATGTTTGTTCTTGGGCTTAAACAAGTTTTTGTTCTTCTTGGGAAGAAGAGATTGATTGAAGTGAACTTTTATGTGACCTCCCAAAGCTTTTCCATTTTGAAATCTCTTACCACATTGCTCACAAACCCGATCTCCGTTTTGATTATGAACATCACTCTGTACTACTTGTTTACCCTTCTGATCATCATATAGTTCTACTTCTTGTTCTGACTCTTGTGAATGTATGTCCTCATCATCACGATCCATGCTTTCTTGATCTTCTTGATCTTCATCATCTTCTTGGAGGTGTTTATTTTTCGCTTGGAGCTTTTTCATGAAGAAGAATTATAGAAATCGTTTTGTACTGGGATTAGGGTTTTAACTGGAGAGGCTGCTTTGTTAGTTTATCTATAACAAACTCTAAAAGAAAGTTGCATTTTCAGTTTTATTGAGACCCTATCAACAAGGTTAAAGCCCTAATTGATTTCCTAGGAGTTCTTACTTTGATGTGCTGCTCAGTTTTTTTTTTTTTTTAGTGACAAAGAATCGTCCCAATTAATTAGTGGTAATTAATTAAGATTTGATTGGAGTTTTTTGACTTCTAGGGGTTGGCTCAAATCTCTGATTCTGATCCGTCCAATTATGAGTTGTGTCCAGGTTAATATGTTTGCGTATCCTACAAGCTCGCTGTAATTAAATTGGGTAAATTGGGGTAAAAAACATCGTTGGGTAAGAGATAATTGCTGAGTTCAAATTGGACACAATATTTTTATTTTTTATTTTATTTTTATACACACTATGTTGGAGGAGGGATAAATCCAACCTAGTACCTCGGATGCAACCGTGTAGGGGTAAATACACTTAACTACTTTAGCTATAAGCCACTTGAAGGACACAATAACGTAATTTCATACTGGTTTCTGATTCTGTGTATGAGCTTTTTTTTATTTATTTTTTAAAAAATTTATAAATAATTATTTTATTTTAAATACAAGCGATTAAGTAAGGGGGTTTACACAAATATTTATTGGGTGTTTGGGGATTTCGAATCTCTGCTTACATTGGTGGAGGTGAAAAAGCTAAACTAACTAAGCTATTGTCAGTGCATGAGCTACTTATTATTTAATCTTTGAATGGTAAAAGTCAGTGCTGGTAAAAAGTGAAGTCCAAGGAAGCACCTACTTCTATCTGCACCAAATTCAGAATCTGGGTCCTTTGTAGCCAAAGCCAAGTTTAAGCCCTTGACGACTGACGAGACTTCAAGATTCACATATTGAGATATGGTGAGGGTTTTATGGCGTGGCAAAAAATTGAAAATCTTTGTACCCTGATAAGACAGAACACTTCGTAACAATTTAATTTATTTTAATTAGTTGAATTATGTGCATTAATCCTTATTAGTTTAATTAGAGGATCCATATCCAATTTAAACATGGAAAGAAAATTAATCCACCAAATTTTCAAGAGAAATGGTGACATAGCTAGTCAATGTACTTTGACATTAACCCTTATACATCAAATTCCTTCAAAGTCCACAAGACTCCACCGCTAATAGATCTCCTAACTAGTTCCATGTAGAATCAATTAGAACTTGTTTTACCTCTCTTCGTAATGTTGGAATAGATTTCAAGTTCGAGTTCCTTCCTCACCGATCAAAAGAAAATACATAGTCCCATATTGAATAAGCCCCACAATTATTGAGAAAAAGTAGTGGTGGAAGTCTCATGCTTGTGCTAACTTGATGAGGTCCAACCACTCGAGGAAAACCATTTGTTCATACTTAAAATTTCATTTTTTGCATTGGTACTTCATTTTCGATCGCACTTTTACTTAAAAAAAAAATGTATATGAGAGAAGAAAACACAATTTTACTCTACTTGCAAGGCCCATCTATCTACGATAAGAGAACGGCTGCAACTAGAGACGTACACTAAGCTTGGTTTAGGGGGTTTCTGCCATGCTCTCTTCAATTGCCAGCAATAAGAAAAATTATGGCAGACCCCTTGGGGAAATTGCAGTAGTGGATATGGCACTGGCAGACCCCTTCGGGTGCCATGCTGACGACTTCATTTGACTACTTCGACAACGATATTACTGTTGAGTGCACAAGGCTTTAATAGGGATGAGTCGACCGTGCACACTAGAGGGGACAGGTCTATGCAACCGAAGGTCCAACTACGAGCTTTTTAACTCATATGTACTTTGTCTCCAAGACCCTAGCTGATCAAGCTGCATGTATTCTTCTCCAAATGGAGGTCCAATATATATAGGGTATACAAAACCTTATCTTATAAGGAATCCTCGTTACAATTGGTAATTAATTACAAATTTGTCAACGTATAAATTATATCCTAAATAGGATTCAGGTCAACGAAAAAAAGTTTATTTAGTTAGAATTCAGTGACGTGCTTTAAAGAGGAATCTGTAAAAAGAAAAAAATTAAATCCCCCACATTATTTTCATAGAGGAAGAAATCAAATAGTAAAGCAAGGTTTCTACTAGAAAAGAAGTGATATATCAGTGATACATTGAATTCCAAAAAATCAATCCAAGAATTCCAATCATCATAAGAGTTACTGATTTAAATGCCTTAGACGAGTAAAACAAAGAAGGAAATCGAAGAGTAAAACAAAGATGAACTTATTGTTGCCAGCACCGAACGGTAAGAGAGTGCTTATCGCTGGTGATTGGGGAGGAAGTAGGGCAGGAGGTATAAGCAAAAGATACATGAAAAAACTAAATGTCACTTAGGCATCTATGACGTGAAGGGTATGGTTAGCCAACTCAGTAGGCACATTAGGTGGTCCACAAATATGTTATCGACGTCGAGCTGACTAGAGGAGAAACCAACAACAATTGGTTAACCGAACAGTCATTCGGTGCAGTCTGGTTTGGCAACAATGTTGACAAGGGCAGAATAAGGAATTCTCATATGGGTGGGCTATTTTTTATTTTGTTTGTTTAAGAAGTTGCTAGAGTGGAGTAGACTAATTTTTTGTGGAATGGAGTGAGCTAATTTTCACTAAATATGCTGAATTTCCTAAAAATAACTCTAAATTCTTTTTCTTTTTTCTAATTATTTGAACCAGGCTGAAATTAGGAATCATCATTTGGCTTGTGGGCCGAAGTGGGTAGTCCAAGGTCCGATATTTAGGCCTAGTCTAACTAACCCGCTCTAAGTATGAGTATGGCTTCGGCCTAAGGTTTGAAACCTCGGCTCGACCCATTTGAGTTCGTCTAGGTCAGGCCCGTTTGAGCCCGTCTAGGATCGGCTCAGAAAAGCCATTTCGACCCGCCTATAATAAATAGAGTAATAAAGTTGCAACTTGGTGTAGACGAATAAATAACTAATATTGTAAGTAGCATAAATTCATTAGATAAGGCATCAATTATGAGTAAATTGTTGCAATAAGTTAAATATAAAAAAGAAAAATGTAGACAATGATGTTCCACATAGGTGAAATTCCACCTACCAACTATTAAAAGTTGCAATTGAGTACATATTGGTTTTGAAGATCATAATTTTTTCATTGTTGTCTAAAAATTTGTAACAAAAAGATTTAATAGACTTAGAAAGAAAGGAAAAAAAAAAAGGCATGATTTGTCTAGGCCCATGGTGGCCCATGCCAAGGCCTTTGAAACTTCAGCTTGGCCCGAAAAATTTTATAAAAAAAAACTCGTAAGGCCCTGCCCACACCCAAAAATTTCAAGCGGGCCCTGCCCAATGATGAACCCTAGCTGGAGCTCCCAGTCTAAGGGCAGCAACATACCGTTTTTTGTGATTTCTTTCTATCAAAGAATCATATGAATGGTTGATTCCTACGTAATACACTTTACTTTTTATTTGATTTGATTGAAAGAGAGAAAGGGCGACAAGTGAAAAAAGTTAGGGTTTATCATGATCGATAAGACTGAATTACCTGGAAGAAGAAGAAGAAGAAGAAGAAGAAAGAAAGGGCGACAAGTGAAAAAAGTTAGGGTTTATCATGATCGATAAGACTGAATTACCTGGAATGCCTGTGCCCATAATAAGAAATTGCGGAGCTACCCATTAATAGTAATGGAACTCTGCGCAAAGTTTCCAATTTGGTTAAACCATGCAGACCATATCAGATTTCCAAAAGTTAGGATTTACTGTGATCAGTCCCGTTCGGGTCCTTAATGACAAATTAATTCTTGATCCCTTCTTTTTCTTTGAGGGATAATAGAGAAAAATTACATTAATTGTCGAAGTAAGTAAAATTAACTTGGAGCAAATTCAGCTTCTCTAAAATTTAACTAACTAATAAACAAGCAAATTAAGCAGCTGTATCTATTTATCTACCTACTGATTTCTTCCTTCATCATTCCCCCTTGGGAGGTTCGTTGAGATCCAAGTCGAGTATTCTCCGACTTGCAAGATGCAATGCTTGTTCAGCCAGTTGCATTAATGGCGAGGAATCCACAGGATCTATGGTCTCACCATCATCATGATCCTTGGTCGATGCTACTTTAACTGTAGCTGCTGGTGGAGCTTCTAGCACTGGTTGTGCTTCATCGAAGTAGTGAGCCCTCTTGTGGCCTCCAAGAGCCTGCCCCGTTGGGAACTTCTTGTAGCAAATATTGCATGTATGGCCATCTAAGAATTTCAATCTCTTTGATGAGGGGAACTTGTACTTTCTTGCAAAAGCATTGTTATAATTAGGTGTTTGGTTAGCTATCTTCTTGTCTCCCCTATCTTTCTTAGCCCAGCCTGGTAAGAACTTTACTCGGTCATAATCTTGCTCTTTAAGATCACGATCATTACACTCAGCTGAAGATGATGTTGATGATGATGAAGAAGAAAAAGAAGGAGACTTGACTCTTCGACTATGGGATCCCATGTGGCCATACAAGGATTTCCTTGATGGGAAAATCTTTTTGCAAATATGGCATGAGAATTTATTATCCAAAGAAGGATAATATTGTAATTGTTGTTGCTTGGTGACCTTAAACTTGTTGTTCATCTTCTTGGGACCTAGACGAGGTTCAAAGTGGACACTTATGTGACCTCCCAAAGCTTGTCCACTCCCAAATCTTTTACCACACACATTGCATATTCGACTTCGATCTGGATCTTGATTGTTCTCACAATTTAGACTTCGCAGTACTATTTCTTTACCTTTACTATCATCAAAACCATGCACTACTCCTTGTTTCGTGTCTTCTGAGGGCATATGATGGTAATCCCTTACTTCTTGTGAAACTATACGATGGTGGTCATCCCTTACTTCATCATATTCTCGATCTTCCTCATGAAAGTTTTTCATAAGAAAAATAAAGTTTGAGGATAACCTAATAATCTGTAGTTTTAACTGACAGAAAGAACATGTGAAAGAAGGAGTTGCTTGCTACGTTTGTGATATGGTGACTAGGGTTTAAGAGAGGCTTGCTATTTATAAGGCAGGGTGCTGGAGTAAACAGCTAAGTTTAGGAGAGGCTTCTGACTTTGAGTTGGACTGTTGCTCTATCCACCGACTTATATTAAAGTGTTAGGATTGCACTTAAAGATAGGAGCTACCAATAGTGTGAATTCCTATCACCACTCTAATATTTCCTATAATAGCCAACTAAAACCCAACAATAAAGGGAAATTTATTTTATCGTGGGCCATAGGTGGCCCATCTGTAGGGTTGTGGGCCATTCTTTTGCTTGTGGGTCCTCCCAACTTGATCTATTATTGGACTGGATCAATAGTCCGCAGTCTAGCCTGCGACCCGAATTTAATTGGTTGGGCCTTAACCTCATGGTCTCACAGTGGAAAGGCAAGTGGGTCAAAGCATATATGTTCATTTTTCAAATAAACATTAAGAGCAACTCCACCCATTTGCTATGACAAAGGGCAAGGGGGGTTAGGGCAGATACCATTCACGTGAATAGTGACTGCTCTTATAAAAAGTAATGTGTGTTTCCACCCATTGTCATGGCAAGGGGCAAATACTATTCACTTTTGGTTTTTGTTTTTGTTTTGTTTTTTTTTATAATCTAAACAATTAACTTGGAGAATATTTTTATTTGTGCTTTGTTTATGTTTTATTTTTAGTTATGCCCTGGTTGTGGTTTTTTTTTTTAAAAATTATGCTTTGGTTGTGGTTTTTTCTTTTAATTATATTTCGTTTGATGTATGGAATGTGCTGAAAATTTTGTGTAGAAAATGAAAAATAATAGAAGGAGAAGAAATGATATGATGATTTTGTGTTGAAAGTGAAGAAGAATGATAGGTATTTATAGAAGAAGAAAAAAAAGGTTCAGAATTTTTTTTGCCCAAAAAAAGCCCAGCCGTTGGATTTAAAAAAAAAAAGAGCATTGGCGCACTAGAATGCACCATGTGCTAGAAAAAATTTGAATTACAGCGCTGACGTCAAGCTGGCGTCAGCGCTGACATCAGTAGCCTTTGGGCTCAACCTCAGGCTGGTTTCGCCTGCGGGCTGGCCCAGTCCCCTGGGGCCCATGG